TTTTTTTTTTTTTTTTTTTTAATTTTTTTTTCAACATTTATTTATTTTTGGGACAGAGAGAGACAGAGCATGAACGGGGGAGGGGCAGAGAGAGAGGGAGACACAGAATCGGAAACAGGCTCCAGGCTCCGAGCCATCAGCCCAGAGCCTGATGCGGGGCTCGAACTCACGGACCGCGAGATCGTGACCTGGCTGAAGTCGGACGCTTAACCGACTGCGCCACCCAGGCGCCCCCAAATTTATTTTCTTGAAACGTGTTTTCCATTGTTCACATTTTAAAAACCATTAGCCTTATAATCTGTGAATAGCAAGAAAAAGATAGGAAGTTCCCAGTGCACTGTAATCCCCAAAGAGAATGCACATTCCTTCGTCACACTGGACTTGCTCTCTTTCTACTTCACTTTGGCATGGTGGCTTGTGGATTCCACCGTTATGCAACTGTAAAAAATAATTTAGTAGCATTTTTTCCCCCAAATAAGATAGAGATAATACATGTTCCTTGAAGAAAAATTGGAAAATGCAGGTAGATTTTTTTCTTCTTGGTGCCTATTAGCCTCTCAGAACTTCTGTTGTTATTTTGGTGTATAGTACATATTTTAATAAAAATGAGATCACCCTGACACTTTTTAAATCTGCTCCTTTCTTTATTTTTAAATGTTTTGTAGGGTAAGTCACAACCTGACTTTGACCTGTCTTTCAGTATCATCTGCTTAGAATATTCTTTGCTATTTTGTAGTCAGGCTCTGTGCTCTTGTGCTTTCCTGACCTCATGTCTATGACGTCCTGCCCTCTACCCCAGCAAAAACAGATATTGATAAAAAGTAGCTTAATGCTCAGTATCTTCTTGTGAAGTTTTCTCATTCTCCAACCACCTGACTGAAGAATTATTATTTAAAATACAAACTTCTCTGGAAAGATTTGTATATTCCCCTCTTATGAGTTAGCAGTTCAGTACTTATTTGACCTTTTAGCAAGGGTTTGCTGAGCGTAAAATTAATGTGAGACATTGGATGGGTCTCCGGGAATTAGTAAGGAAGATAAGAAGGGCCTAAATTGGCCAACCTTGCAGCTTTGTCTAGGCCTAGCCATGCTGCAGAGTCATTTTACACACTATCTTTGAGAAATATAAAAATCCAAGTTTAACCCCAGTTCACCAAAGTGAGGTAAACTCCCATAGAAATCACAGGAGATTGGAAGTAGGGATAGAGAGACTAACTGATTTAGGAAATAGAGAAATGATAATACTGCATATGAATATATGGAAGTAGATCTATATCATGAGGTAAAGGACTGCCTAAATCAGTGCAGATCTTTAGTTTATGACATGTTCACAGACCCATTAACCGTGGGAATAGTAGTGATTCTAAGGACTTCTTTGTAGAAAGGTGCTTCAGGAGTGTCAGTAATCAAAGTTTGCCAGATTTTGCTAAAGTGAGCCAAGTCAGGTTGGTACTTATTTCAGGGAAAAATTAAGCCAAGAGCATAAAATGAAGGAAAAAAGAAACTATCTTTGTCTAGTGTTTCCTTTATATGTCAGTGATTAATTTAGGATCGAAATTGTGTTTAAGATCTGAATTGAAAGTTAGCATTACAGTTAAAGTGACATCTGCCCATAGTGTTTATTGAAATGAAGAGATTCTTCTGTTGCCAGTTGCATACCTAACTTTCAGATGGTGGAGAGTGTAGGAAGATGGTATCTTTGCTTTCTGGCAGATGTTGGGGTAGCAGCTTTGACTGCTCAGTTACACAGACTTTCTTTGACATTGTCTTTTCTTGTGGTTTCGTTATTCTGTGTTTATGACTCCCTGCCTCGTCTTCACGTAAAGTGCTGTATTTTGAGTGCCTTCACCTTTTTAAAAAACTATTTGTTTTGTAAAATTTACATAAATAATAGTTGCAGTTGCCACTCAACTCCATATCTTTGACTTTAAATACATTATCCAACAAATGTCCCTGCTGCCACATGTCCTCTTCCCTGACTTGAGCTTCTATGTTACTGTCATTACTCTTCCAGTTTAGAAGATTTAAGTGGGGTCAGCTTTGAATGGTGTGTGTGTTGGAGGTTGGAGGGTAGGCTCTCATCTCGCAGAGAGAGTTGACTCCTCACTCAGTCTCTCATCTTTTCCCCTCGGTGATCTGTTTTCCACAGCATTAAGTAATGTCCCCTAAATGACACTTTTCTACATTTTGTTCTACTTAGAGGCTTACAGTAGCTTAATACTGATAAATTCTGCTGGATATGCAGTACCATTATTCATACGGTTTTAATCTATTTTCTGTTTCCCATTAAATCCTTCATCTTTCTTTACTCATAATCCTCATTCTCTCCCGTGTTTTCCTTGGTCTGTTTGATTTGTTCCTAATGTCATAACCCTCTTTTGCCACCCCAGGCCTTCCTGTCCTGCCACTTATCACATGAAGCGATGGAAATATACTTGTCTCCTATGCTCTGTTTTCTTATTTTTTATTTCTTATTTTATATGTAAATCTTATTTTATTTCTTATTTTATGTGTAAATAACTAAATTGAGGGCAGGGGCAGTATTAGAGATTTTTCTAACAAATTGAACCAAATTTATTCCATCAGGCAAACTTTTAGCCTGTAATATTTGTTAGTTATTTAACTGTACATTAACAGTTACTGTCCTTTTTCTTTATTACACTTGTATATTCACAGTACAGGACAATCATAATACACTGTGCCTCAGGTAATTTAAGTTCTACTGCTACCTTCTGTTATTGGCTAATTGTATGAAGGGAAGTCGTTTGACCTGCCTGGGATTCACTTTTGAATTCTGGATGACAGTTAGGTTAAATGATTTATAAGGCTTTTTTCATTTGTATTTTTAAATTCTTTTAAAATTATATTTAAAAATTACCTGTAGGTAAAATGTCAGCTACTGTATTAAAGCTAGAATAAAGATTTGAATTTAGAAATCAAAAATCTTCACCAAAGTAATGTTTCTTTTAACCTTTAAAAATGCATTTATTTAATTTACTGTGCCTGGTTTATTTTAGACAGGTTACTTGATACTTATTGCTGTTATGCTGGTGTCTCGAACATACTGTGATGTTTGGATGATTCAAAATGGGACACTCATTGAAAGGTACTTTTCTATTCACCTTCCTCCTATATGTATAAAATACTAATTTGTCTCCTATATAACATTATCTTAAGCAAGAAATAGATTCTAAATTACATATAAATATTTAACTCAGGTGATGTATTTGTTCATTTACTTAAATGAGTGTTTCCCATGTGCCAGGCACCATGCTACTCTGTGATAGGGATATATTGGTGAGCAGGAGAGACTCTGTACCAAGCCCTGCAGAGCTGACAGTTTATACAGGGCTCGGGACAAATAAACAAATTAAAAGGCAGTGTATTAAATGCTGTAATAGGGGTTTAAAAAAGTCACCAAGTTGGATATTTGAAATTAATCAGATAATTTGGAGGAAAAGATCAGAGCATTTCAGGGAATCACATTGAGAATGTTTACTGGAAAGAAGAAAACAATTCTTAGACATTTTCTTCAGTTTTTGAAGTTAGTGCTTTATTATGTTTTTTTCAATATAGTCTTTCTGCATATTATCACTACATTTGATCATTTTGAATTTAAAAACAGTAACAGCTGGGATATTAACATTTATCTTAATAAAGATTTTACTCCTTATGATACCAATTTGAACATCAGAGTAAAATATTTTTCTTGGAATTCTATTTCCTAGTGTGCAATATTTTATCGGAGAATTTCTTAAAGTACTTAATTAATCTAAATTAATTCGTTCATTTTGAATGACAGTACTTAAAATTTTTTAATGTTCCCAAATTTTGAAATAAGGGTTGATTTTTTTTTTTTTTTCTTTCTCGATTTGCTTCTCAGGATTTATAGGATGAGAAAGAATGCTTTGTGCCCTTGTTCTGACTCATCTCTCTAGGAGAATACAGAAAGTCATTTGCAAAGGACTAAAGCCCCAACTACACGTCTTAGAACATGCGTAATTGTACAGGTCTCCCTGAAACCTGTGGTCAGTCCCCTGTCTTTTTCTTTTAATCAGAGTAGTACGTGAACAGCTTAAAAAGGAGTACATGAACTGGACTTAGTCATAAACACACCAGTCCTGTGCCCCATTCTTCCACTTTAACTGTCGCTCCCAGAGTCAGTTCTTTTCTTTTCTTTTGTTTTTACCATTTCATCTCTGTCTCTGCGTTGCAGTGTAACTTACGTTACTGTCGTAGATTTTTCAGTGTTAGAGAACATGCATTTATTTCCTACTTTGGAAGATGAGAATTTGCTCTTTTATACTCCTACCCGTGCTCACCCTCTCATGTTCTACCTCATTTATTGTTAAGTCAGAATTTATTGTTTACGTGATTTTGACTGTTTACCGCTGAGCTACATGCTGCACTTTGGTAGTTTCTTTTATGTACAACTTTTTGTTTTTCCTGGCATTTAAAAATCACAAGTTTTTGTTTGTTTGCCTTAGTTCTTTGCCTACTTCTTACTAATTCGGCTCAGACTTCCTGACAAACTGTAAAATCTTTACAGTGTTGTAATATGGTCCTGCACACCAGGATTTGATTTTTGTCTCTATTTCCACTGCACCTCATACCTCTTGTCAATTTCTTGTCTTCCTGCTCTACTCAGTATTGATTTCACTTTAGGCTCACTAAATAGCAGTCCTTTTTGAGTTTGCTTTTATCATGATCTTGGGAATTTCCTTTATCTTTCTCTTTTGCATTAAATAACCTGTTTTCTGAATCCTTTGTCTCCCTCTTCCTTAGTTTACTTTCTCATTTTGGCAGGTGCAGTCTTTTTCTGAGAAAGGATACCAGGGAAGTAAATTTTTGAGGCCTTCCTTGTAGATCTGATAGTCTTTCTTCTCCTCTTAAACTTGACTGATAATTTAGCTATTAATGCATTCCAACTTGGAATTCATTTTTTGTTAGAATTTTGAAAACATCACCTGTTTGTTGTCTTCTGTAGAGCTTGGCAGTTCTCAACCTTGGTTGCAGGATGATTTGAATCATCTGGGGAATTTTGAGAAGGAATAATATCTGGGCTCACCTCTACGCATTCTGATTCAATTAGTCATTACTTTTTGAAACATCCCAGTGATTCTAATTTGCAGCCATGGTTAAACACTGCTGGTCTAGCTGCCATGTTGGGTGTGGAGGCCCATTCTTGTGCAGATTGCCCTTCCTTGGCAGTACATCTATTTTAAGTCCCTATGGAAGCTTTTATTTTTAAAAAAAAATTTTTTTTTTCAACGTTTATTTATTTTTGGGACAGAGAGAGACAGAGCATGAACGGGGGAGGGGCAGAGAGAGAGGGAGACACAGAATCGGAAACAGGCTCCAGGCTCTGAGCCATCAGCCCAGAGCCTGACGCGGGGCTCGAACTCAAAGACCGCGAGATCGTGACCTGGCTGAAGTCGGACGCTTAACCGACTGCGCCACCCAGGCGCCCCTGGAAGCTTTTATTATCATTTTTTTATTGTTCACGTATTGCTGGTATTTGGGAATTTTACTGAATATTGCTGTGAATTTTTTTTTTTTCATTGTTCTGGGCACTAGGTGGGCCTTTTTCTCCCCTCCCCTCCCCAGGTAGGCTTCATGCCCAGTGCAGAGTCTAACGGTGGGGCTTGAACTCACAACCCTGAGATCAAGACCTGAGCTGAGATCTAGTCAGATGCTTAAGTGACTGAGCCACCCAGGTGTCCCACTAGGTGGGTTCTTTTCTTTCTTTCTTTAAAATGTATTTATTTATTTTTGAAAGAGACAGAGCGAGCAGGCAAGGGGCAGAGAGAGAGGGAGAATTCCAGGCAGGTCCCAAGCGCTGTCAGCACAGAGCCTGATGCAGGGTTCGAACTCACAAACTGTGAGATCATGACCTGAACTGAAACCAAGAGCCAGATGCTTAATTGACTGAGCCACCCACGCACCCCATAGGTGAGCTTTTTTCAATTTGAGGAACTCACTCTGTATTCTGAGATATTTTCTTGTGCTTTTGAAAAATTTTTTTCTCTCCCTTTTTTCTGGAATCCTTATTACTTGAGTGTTGGAACCCTAGACTGATCATCTGATTCTTACAATTTCTCTACTGTTTTCATCTCTGACATTTTCAAGGAAATTTCCTTTTACTGTATCATCCAGTGAATCTGTATTTGTCATAATTTTATTTCCAAGAGTTATCTTTTTGTATGGATGTTCATTTTTAGAGCAGTCATTCTTTCAAGTGTGACTTTCTTTCCTTTTTTCTTTCCTCCCTTCTTTTCTTTCCTTCCTTTCTCTTTCTCTCTCTCTCTCTCTCTCTCTCTCTCTCTCTCTGTCTTTTCTCTCTGTCACTCTCACTCTCTCCCTGTCTCCCTGCATTGTTTCTGTTTCCTTCTTGGCCCTTTGTTCTCATCTTTGTTGTTTATGTTAGCAACTCCGTCACTCTTGCCTCTCTATTCACATTTAAAAGTGAGGGCTGAAGGAAGCCAAGTTGAGGGCTTATTGACGGTCTGGTCTTCCTGAATAGTATTTTACAGACAGTCTGGTCATTTTTGTGTGTGTACTCTAGTGAGGAATTCACTAAAAAATTCTAAGAAGTTTGTCATTAACATAAGTGTTTATTCATTGCTGCTAGCATATCAGCTTTGGAGGATCAGTTTTATTGCTAAGTTCTGTTTATATGGGCTGTGTGCCTAAGTAATTTGAGTCTTTTGTATAACGTAGAGAAGACATTTATACCCTTTTACATGATTGTAGAATTTATAGTTTTTCCTTTGATGACTTTATTATCTAAATGCCATATCTATTAATAAAAATACAGTCTCACCAATTACAGCATTGTTAAATACTTAACAGCAAAAAATGTGCAGGTTATATACACTATGAACTTATTAGCTATCTGTGTAGAAAGTTACATATTATCTATAAATAACCTTGCACAACCTTGGTATAGTATAGGAAAAGTAGTTTATTTCGTAACTTTTTTCCCCTTTTATTTACATTTTGTGATTTCACGTTTTGTAATCTAAAATAATATTTACTCTTATAAACTATGGATTTCCAACTTTAACTGAATAGACACTGATATTAGTTTTCTCACAGACTTAATGCCCTGGAGAAAATGCATTGCCAAGAGTAGGTGGTACATTATTTGCTGATGATGGACAGGAGGAAGATTATTATCTGGCATAAGCCAGGTTATAATTCTGTTAGATAGAGTAATCGATTTGTTGGGTACTCAGTTTTAAAATGTAGTTTTGAGATGTAGAAAAAAAATGAAAAACAAAACTACTTAAGGGTTTCTAAATAACATTATTTTGATACTATTTAAACGTACAGAAGAGTTGCAAGAACAGTGCAAGGAGCTTCCTTACACTCTTAACCCATATTCATCAATTGTGAAATGGTCATTTTAAAGTTAATTGTTAATTTTCTCCTTGATAAATATTTTTGAGCTTCTATGTATGAGATCTTTGATCTTTGGTTAAATTTAACATCTTTAAATGTGAATTCATAATATGAAAGTTTTATTTGAAAAATAACACATTCCTCTAACTCGGTACTAATGCCACATTGTAAATTGGTTTATCTGTCTTTTCCTTTTTGCCTCTGCCACGGAGGTTTAGATTCATGTATTTCTCCTAAAAAAAAAAAAAAAAAAAAAAAAAAAAAAAAAAAAGTCTCAAAAAGACTCATGATGGTCCGTAATGTACATTTTAATATCCCTTACATGTTTATTTGTTAGCAGTGGCTAAAAGCTTTGGAGTATGGGCACATTTTAACAGGACAGACTCCTTCTTTAAGGTAGAGAGAGACTGGTAATTCCATGATTTGAAGGAGAATCCTTCATACCTTGTTGCTGCTACAGTGGAATCATAAAGATATATTTTATTTTCACCCAGGCTACAGGCAGCATTTTAAAATCACCAAATCATCATTTATAAAAGGCTTAAATGTTTTGGAAGTAATAATAATGTAAATAAACTGTAAAATTATTCTTTATTATTATTTTTCCTTTGCAGCGGAATAATAAGCAGAAATAAGGCTTTATTCAAGAAACCATTTTTTAAATTTATAGCTGCTACTCCAATGGTAAACCATTGCTGAATGATAGCATGTGCTTTACCAAGTTTTATAATCTTGTGTGTTTCACAGCTTGGGCTAAAGCTAAAGCACTTTGGTTTTATGTAAAGTTTGGTTCAAGTCATTTTAACTTAAACCTCTAAACTTTTTGTACTGTCTTAATTGCTTCTTGTTTTTAATATTCTTTAAAAAAATTTTTTTTAATGTTTATTTTTGAGAGAGAGAGAGAGAGAGACAGAGCATGAGTGTGGGAGGAGCAGAAAGAGAGGGAGACACAAAACAGGCTCCAGGCTCAGAGCTGTCAGCACGGAGCCCGACGCAGGGCTCAAACTCACGAACGGTCAGATCATGACCTGAGCTGAAGTCGGACGCTTAACTGACTAAGCCACCCAGACGCCCCTTTAATTTTCTTGTTTCTACAAACATTTTTATATGATTCTATTTTAGCTTTTTCTAGTTCAACATAAAATTAAAAAACAAATTGTTTAGCACTTCTATCAAATTTGGACTATTAATTTTTTATCAGTCTAAAGGAGCATTTCCCTAAGTATGTCCTGTCTATGTATGACAGAGGAGATGCTACACGCTATAGAACTGTCTCAAAAGAGTTTCAGTGCAACACATCATACTGTAAGAGCTTTGAGAAGACCTTTTGTAAAGACATTTGCTAGCTTTGTTTAGCCCAGATTTTCCAAATTTATTTGACCATACAACTTTTTTGCTCTAAAAGACCAGTTAACATTACATGGCATTATTCACCTATTCCCTCATAAAAATAAAATTATTACCATATCATTTTTTTTGTGGTGTGGAGCTAGGTTTTGTTTTGTTCTGTTTTTTTCAGTTATTTTGAAAGAGCAGAGGAGGGGCAGAGAGAGAGAGAATCCCAAGCAGACCCTGTGCTGTCAGCATGGAACCCAACTCTAGGCTTGATTCCACAAACTGAGATCATGACCTAAGCCAAAATCAAGAGTCAGATGCTTAACCGACTGAGCCACCCAGGTCCCCGTGGAGCTAGGTTAAATCATTTAGTGCATTGCTTTTCAAAATATATTTTACATATTTGAATATTAATAAATGCTATTTGAGAAAAGAGTGTGTGACCAAAGAAGTTCTATCATTTTAGTAGATCACAGACATAAGGTACTCAGAGATCCTTTACTTATATGATAGTTTTCAAAAAAGTAGTGGAACCCTTACTTTGAATAAGTTCTTAATGGATATTTTTAGAACAGATAAATATGTAAAACAAATGAACATAAAAGAAGAGTTGGTTTAGTTTAAGTGTGTTAACACCTCTGAAGCCTCTGCAAAACCATCCTGAGGCTCTGAGGAACCCCACTAATCTACTTTCTGATTTATCATTTAGTCCTGGGGTCAGCAAACAAGCCTCCACAGGACAAATCCCACTGCCATCTGCTTTGGAAAATTTTATTAGGACACAGCCAGTCTCATTCTTGGCTGTTTTTGCTTCTGCAACTGCAGAACTGAGTAGTTGGAACAGAGACCTTCCTGCCCACGAAAGCTTAAAATATTTACTCTTGACCTTTTGCAGTGAGTTTGCTGATCTGTCATTAGTCCGTCTCTGCAATTAGTTCATACAAATGAGAATCATGGTATTAAAATATTTAAAAACAAAGAAATACTAGCTAATTTCATCCATAATAACCCATTCCTGACTATAAAGTTAATTGTTTTGCCATCTAAGCTCCTTTTGTGGCAGTTTAAGCCTTTTTTTAAATTGCCATTTTTACTAAGGAAAGAACTAAGGAAATTATTCGTATTTGATTTTGCCATTTATAGAGGGATTTGCAGGCAGCCTATGTAAAATGATTAAATTTCAAAAGTTAGAAACATGTTTTTGCAAGAAAGTGTTTTTCAGCACCTTTTTTTCTTATTGATTCTTTTGAGCCAATAAAAATTTCCAAGAGTAATTTTAGAGCTTTACAGGGTTTTTAGTGTGAAATATTGCTTCTTTTGCAACTAATGCATTGCATGTGGTGGTTTGCAGTGGTATCATTGGTCGTAGCAGGAAAGATTTCAAGAGATACTTATTCAACTTCATTGCTGCCATGCCTCTCGTAAGTGTAATTCTTTAAAAATCTTTACATATGGACAAATTTGTATCTTACTAAAATCTTCAAAGATTTGTTTGTACTTCTTAACTTTAAAGATTTATGGTACTAAGTTCCTATTCCGAGTTTAGTTTTGTAACTTACAGCAGAATCTTTCAATGTAAACCTTTATCCTAGATAGAAAAATAAATTGGATTGATGTGTATTTTTTTTTTTTTTTTTTTTTTTTTTTTTTTTACCTTTAGGCCAGGGTATCTCTGATGTTTAGTAGCATTGCACTTGATGGTAGTAGTGCCCCTCCCCCAGTTTTGATGACCAAGTATGTCTCTAGGACATTGCCATATGTTCCATGGAGGCTGGGGTGGAGGTAGGCACGGTGGCAAAATCACCCTGGTTGAGAACCATTGCTTTAGGCCATTTATAGTAACTTGAACCACTGATGTAGTTTAAGTTAAATTGGATTTATTTATTTATTTATTTATTTATTTGTTTGTTTGTTTAAAATGGGAATTTATTATCTATTTATTAAAAATAAAGGTCAGTGTTTGGTTTAAATCATAAGTGATTTTCTTAGCTTGGTTCTTTATTGTCACTATAAGAATTTTAATATAAATATATCAGTGAAAAAAACTTGATTGTAAAATCCAGTTAATCAGAAAATATGTCAGAGATTTAATAAAGCTTGAGGAATATACATACATGGCTTTTAGACCTTTAAAAAATTGAGATAAGTAGTATAGATATCAGTAAAAGATTGAGATACAGTAGGCGGCCAGTGTTTTCTTGAGAAAATGTTCATGTAAATGAGTTTGGAACTGTGGAAGAATTAATTTATTAATTTTAATATAATGATGGAAAAGAAATAAAGATGACTCTAGAAATACTCTGGAAATGGTATTAGTTGGTGTGAAACTTAGAGTACTTTTTTTTTTTTAATTTTTTTTTTCAACTTTTTAAATTTATTTTTGGGACAGAGAGAGACAGAGCATGAACGGGGGAGGGGCAGAGAGAGAGGGAGACACAGAATCGGAAACAGGCTCCAGGCTCTGAGCCATCAGCCCAGAGCCTGACGCGGGGCTCGAACTCACGGACCGCAAGATCGTGACCTGGCTGAAGTCGGACGCTTAACCGACTGCGCCACCCAGGCGCCCCTAGAGTACTTTTTTTTAAGAAATGCAAATGAAAATAGAATTTCATTGTCTAGGGTTGTCAGTGCTTGTAGTAGGAAACAAAATATAAACGCAAATGTTAGGACTCCTTTACATTGGATACAAAGGTGACAGATTAGGCTTTTTGTTTGTTTACAAAAAAAGTAGCAAGGTGCTTCTCATAATTGATGATACTAACATATTCTAAAATTGAGTGTCAAGTTAGGTTTTAATAATATATCACGATAGTATAGCCAATTGCATTTGGTTTAGCATATTGTCTTTGTATCTTTGTAAACTCTAAGTAAAACAGAACTGAAGTACATCAGTTTGGACTGTTGGTAATAAAAATCATAGGATTTAGGGACATACCCAATGAAAGAGAAATAAATTGTAATTTTATAAGTAGAAATGTAGTGAAACCAGTAATATCTGTTTGTTTCAGATCTCTCTGGTTAATAACTTCTTGAAGTTTGGGTTAAATGAGCTCAAACTGTGCTTCCGCGTAAGACTAACTAAATACCTCTATGAGGAGTATCTCCAGTAAGTGATAACCTATTTTTGTATTAAAAGTGCTTAAATTGAATAGAAATGCTTATGATATTGAGATATAGAGGTTTTTCCTTTGTATTGAATATGTTTTTCAAGGGAATTGCTCTTGGACCCAGAAGCATACAGGGAAAGCCCTCAGTAATTTAGACTCTCCTACGGGCCTTTCCGTTAATCGACAAGTCATCCTTCTCTGGATGTTCTTCCTTGTTTCTAAAATCAGTTAGGACAATCTTTAGGGACTCTTCCAGCTCCGGACTTTTCTGTTCTATGAATTTACACTATGTGCTAAAGTGTGATTGTTTGTTTTAATGTCATTTTTTTACTGCTATTATAGAGCTTTCACATACTATAAAATGGGAAATCTGGACAACAGAATAGCCAATCCAGACCAGCTGCTTACACAAGATGTAGAAAAGTTTTGTAACAGTGTAGTTGATCTGTATTCAAATCTTAGTAAGGTAAGTTTCTTTATTTTCTTTTTTTAAACTATCAGAAAATTATAGGCTCATTCAATCATTTCAACACATGGATGTTTTGATAAAGTAATAGAATTAAACAATATTACAAGTAGAAAGAGCCTTTTGTTTTATAGGTGCAGATATATAGAAACCAGAAAAGGTGGTACTAGATTTGGGGTTCCATCTTAGGTCCTTGTATTCAGTGTCTTTACACTACATTGAGAAACTACTGAGTTACTCATGGTTAATTATCACAGTAGAGCTTCCTTAGTTGTTGGAAGGTGATACATGTTTTTCCCACTTGATGGTCAGTAGACATTGGTCATGCTGTCTCTATTTTAAGTTTTTAAGAACTGTTTATTTTATGTATTTGTTGATCTATATACTGTTATAGTACATTATATATAGTGGGAACTCTGCGTGTTGACAAGTATGTGTTAAATGTTGAATAGTATTTTATATTTGTTGTGTTAGCTATATATCTATGCATTCCAGTTCTTTTTAATTCCTTACCTTCTAATATTTACGTTACAGCCATTTTTAGACATAGTTTTGTATATCTTCAAGTTAACAAGTGCAATAGGAGCTCAGGTGAGTTTAATCTCTTTTAAATTGCTCTAATATGGTGTTGTAAATAGCTGGAGTGTTTGTAGGAGTTTTTATATATCTCAAAGAATGTGCTTTTATGACATGTACCTAATAAAGTCTAGTTTATAAACTCATACTGTACTAGAGACTTAGAAAGTATTCTAATTTGGTGTTTTAATTTTCCTTAAGGCAGATACTTGGAAAGTTTCTGTGGCATTTATAACCGGAAGTGCTTTAACAATGACATACATGTACTTACTGTTGTAAAGTAATGGCTAAATAAGAAGAGATTTGGAGGCAGCCATTTTAATATGAAACTTGAATGTTAAAATGTCAGAAATACCTTTAGAGTGGCTATAACTGTTTATTACATCATATATAATTTTATAAAAATGTAAATGGTTGACTATCTCATGAGCCTTATTACCCTGTCTTTCTGATACTCGTGTTGGTAAGAATGACCTTTAGATTTTCTCCGAGTATTCTCATTGAAGTATTACTTTAGGCATTTAATACATTATTGTTACATATTTATCACACAACCATGTAATAATGTGGCCATTGTATATATATGTGCATGTGTATGTGTACACATTTTGTAGTTGAGAATATATGATTTCTATAGTGGATTTAGCTTTTTTTCCAGAATACTGAGAAAGTAGTTTTTTATTTGAATTATCTTATCTACCTTACTAACTTTTTGCTACCCTGTGATCCAAGTTTAATCATTCTTCTAGTTTGTTTTTACTATAAGCAAGTGAATAGGCCTAATGCCTCTCATCTGTGTGCTCCAATATTTTTATCGTACTTAGTACATTTTTATACTTAAATAATCTTTCCATGTATCGCTGTTATCCAATTCTGATTCTCAAAGGTAGAAACTATGTTTTAGTTCTTTCCTTTGCCCATTCTTGCAGTAATTGTTGAACTGCACTGAATCAATCATATTTAATTAAAAAAATATTGAATACACATTATAGTCCACACATCTTGTGTTAGGTGGTAAGGATAAAAACATGAATAAGACACAGTTCCTGCTGAAGAAGGTTTACAATCTAATAAAAGAATAGATATTCAGATTATTATAAGGTTGAGTGCTAAGTTCAGTAACAGAAGTTTGAATAAAATCTTTAGTGTCCGGAAGAATTGGAGGTGATATTTGAGCTGCTCTGAGGAGGATGACTAGGCATCCATTAGATATGTCAGGTTTGTCAGGCATAAGAACAACTTCATTGAATGGCGTGTTCAGGAAGTTTTTTCAGCATGGCGGAACATACAATATAGGTGGGAGTGAGGGATTACCTGTGATGAACTTGGAGAGGTGAGCTTAAAGCTTCTCCCTTGGGTTGGTCAGTGGGTGATGTGGTGACTCACCAAGTTACAAGCTGTGGCAGCTGCAGGCAAGATGTAGAGGGAAGGGCAATTAGAGCTGGCTTGGGGGACTTTGCTTGAGGCCCTACAGAGTAGTGAGGTGTTAAGTGTATGGTACTTACTTGGAGATATTGTCTTGGATTCTTAAGAGTGATGGGAGTAGAGATAAAAATTTGGCAGAAGAGATCTAAGGAAGAAACCTCAGGGAATATTAACATTCCAGGAGAAGGCAAAAAAAAGAGGTCTGAGACTTTCTGTGGAATCTTAAGGGAATATCAGGAAGAGTTTCATCAGAAGAGTTTTAGATGCTATAGGAAGAGTGTAGACTGCAATTAAGAATTTTGGGTGAACAAATTCAGGAGAGCGTACAGTGTTGGAGGAAGAGTTGATGAGTAGTTAAAAGGATGAAATGCCCAGTGTGTCCTTTCTCAAAAAAGAGTTAAGGGGAAAAAATTAACCAAAAGAGCAGTTTTTCTCAAAGCCACTGGAGCTAATTATAGAAATTGTACATGTTGCATCCGGTGAATGTATTATGATATCCTTAAACTTTGTATATTCTCTCTTCCAATAATAATAGGGCCCAGCAAGTATGATGGCCTACTTGATTGTTTCCGGGCTATTTCTAACTCGACTTAGAAGACCCGTTGGTAAGATGACAATAACTGAGCAAAAGTATGAGGGAGAGTATAGATACGTTAATTCCCGGCTCATCACCAACAGGTAAGGAGCAATGTATTAAAGGAATTTAGCTGTGGGGCACCTGGGTGACCCAGTCAGTTAAGCGTCTGACTTTGGCTCAGGTCATGATCTCATGGTTCATGAGTTCGAGTCCCACATCAGACTCTGTGCTGTCAGCACAGAGGCTGCTTTAGATCTCTGTCCCCCTCTTTCTGCCCTTCCTCTGCTCCCGCTCTCTCTCTTAAAAATAAACAAACATTAAAAAATAATAATAATCATTAAAAAATGAAGGAATTTAGTGGTATTAAAAATGTGTTTTTATGAATATTGATGTCATATAAGTTAACTCCAAAAAGTGTGGTAGACAGTGTTACTAAAATTGTGTTTGTGAATTTCCCTCTTTTGAAAATATACATTATGAAAGATAATCAGTTTTATACAAGAGTAATCTTCCACATTTCTAACTCTTTTTCTTAACTGTGTAGTATCCTTGGTTCACCTCTTCATATCTTTTATTGACTAATTTTCTGTTCATTTCACTTTAAACATGCTCAAAATATAATTCAAATTCTGATTTACTTATAATACTTCTTCAAGGAAAATTCTATCTCAGCTTATCCACAAATACTTTTGAGACTGTTTGGAATTCTTAGTAATTCAGTCTTCCTGCATCTGTCTCTATTTTCCTATTTTCCACATAGTTTCCAAAATAGGAAGAAAAAGCATTAGGCTTTGGAGCCAGCCTGACTAGTTTCAAAATCTGCCTCCTCCATTTACCAGTTATATATTATACAACTTTTGGCAAGTTAGTTATAGCTTCACTTTTCTTGTTTATGATAGGGCTATGATAGTTAATATAGGGCTGTTGTGAGGATTAAATATGAAATATATACAAAGCTTCCAGCACAGGTTTTGATATATAGTTTGTACTCAGTAAATTTTCTCATGTATTAATGTATGTATGTATTAATCTGTCAACCTTACCTCATTTTGAGAATCCTGATCTTTATTTAGTACCCCATAAGCATTTACAGACTTATTCAGAATACTTTTTTCAGGGGCACCTGGGTGGCTCAGTTGGTTAAGCGTCTGACTCTTGACTTCAGTTCAGGTTATGATCTCACGGTTCGTGGGCTTGAGCCCTGGTCAGGCTCTGCGCTGACAGTGTGGAGCCTGCTTGGGATTCTCTCTTTGTCCCTCTCTTTCTCTGCCCCTCCTCTGCTTTCTCTCTCTCTCTCTGTCTCTCTCTCAAAATAAATAAATAAACTTAAAAAATATTTTAAAAATATTACTCTTTTAATAATTCCCTCTTCCTTTATTTCCTTGCATTGCTAAAATGGTACCAATGTTAAATAGAATTTTGTGCTACTGTAGGGAGGCTGAGGAATAGATGATTGGTTGAGTAGAGAGGTGATTTACCAAGTGAATGGAAGATGGTATCAGCTAGAATGCTTTCTTTTACAAGAAACAGAAAACCCTGGCTCTTCTTTTATGTTCTCTTGGCTCAGCCCTCCTTTGTACGTTCCTCTTTTCCTCAGCCTAAGTTTTCTTGTGATTACAAGATGGTGAAGCAGTTCCAGATGTCACCAGCACTCCTCCCCTGTAAAAAGTCCAGAAATCGGAACAGGCCACCTCTTCACGAGAGCAGGAAAACTTTCCCGGAAGTCCCATGGCTGACTTTGTTTCACCTCTCATTGACCAGAATTATCACTTACCCATGTCTGAAGCAGTCACAGTAAAGTGATTCCCTGAGACCAAATGGAACTCATTCCTTGTAGATAGATAACTAAGAAAATTGGAGTTCTCTTAGGAAGAAGGATGTGGAAGAGAATTAATGGTAGATGCCCAGCCATAGTATTCTAGGATGTTTTTGCCCTTTCAGGTTTTAGATTGGGGCTAAAATGACTCAGTGGAATGTTCACTTTATCTTCCTCCATGGGCTTAAATGTGCAGAGGAGGTAGAAGGAAGTGAGAAACTAATTATAGGTATAGAATTGTTTTTCAACTGGAACTCTGATACCCTGTGGCTCGATATGATTGTGTCAAGGAAATGGTGAAACAGGTCAAACGTGATTCATTTTTATACGAAGGTAATTTTACTTGAAGGGGCTGAGGCAGGAGCTACCTTGTTTTTATAATGGGAAAAAGGCAGGTACATTTTGGAGTAGAATATGCAATTCACATAAATTTTTAAGGGAAAAAGAGACTTTAAGGAAATATTGGGTGTTTATTGAAGGCTTTTCAACTCTGCCCTCTAGACTCCTATGTAAATCTTTACTTTCCTCTGCTGTAAGAGCTACTTTTCTGGGAATGTTTACATCATACTGATGTATGGGAAGACTAGACTTGAGGGTCAGGTATGGTTTACAATCTTATCTGCTTGACTTGCTAGCTGTATGACAACAGATTTTCTTAACTGCACTGAACCTTTCTTCATCCGTAAGAATGCCCTTTTTCTTCTAGTCAACATTCTTGTGGCCCTTATGGACCCATTCAGTCCAGCTCAAGAAAAGGAGAGTTGTTGTGAGGAAATGGTGGGGTTCCCAGAATAAGAATGACTGTTCAGCTGGGCCTCCTGGAAGCTGGCACTGTGAAATCATTTGGAGTTGGTTTGCTTTTCAGTCTTTCGAAGGCTGCATGTCATGGCATCGCTCAGTAGCTTCTTCTACCTGTTATTTATCCTCTCCCTCCTGTGTGTAGGGTCTGTACTCCATTTGTCATCTATAATGGCTGTCCCAGCCCTGCTTTCCTATATATCATAGCAGCTTCCTTCTTATTTTTTATTAAAGAAATTAATTAAATTTCTGAGGACTCACCCGGCACATCTTTTCCAACCAGGCTACAGGTGGCATATGCAACATATGGCTGCAGTTCAGTCTGTGATCCGGTTAGGTGTGTGTTCCTGTGCTCTCTGGTCAGCTGAGCTTGGAGCAGGATCTCCAGCACAGAACTGTGGCAAGACACACCCATTAAGCCTATAGTCTTAAGTGTCCACTGAAGTTTTTTTTTAATGTTTATTTATATTTGAGAGACAGAGACAGAGCATGAGTGGGGAAGGGGTAGAGAGAGGAAGCTACAGAATCTGAAGCAGGCTCCAGGCTCTGAGCCATCAGCATAGAGCCCAACGTGGGTCTCGAACCCACAAACCGTGAGGAGATCATGACCTGAGCCGAAGTCATATGCTTAACCTGCTGAGCCACCCAGGCACCCCCTAAATGTCCATATCAATAAAATATTCGGTCATCAAATACTCTATTTCAGTTGTTTTTCAGGCATAGATAATATTAAAATTAATTACTAAATTATTTTCTTTAATAGTGAAGAAATTGCCTTTTACAATGGAAATAAGAGAGAAAAGCAGACAATCCACTCAGTCTTCCGAAAACTGGTAAGATAACATGCTTGAGGCTCGTGTATTTATGGAAAGATTATTTTTGGCCCGTGATTATCTGTATCTATAGGTATATATCTTTAATCCTTAAGCTATTCATTTTTAAACAGCTATGAAGTATTTTTATGCTGTGTTTTCATAAAAAATATAAGAATAAAAACTATCCTATTAGTGTAGTAAGCCTCCTGTTACAAACATTATTTATTTATTAAAATAATTGTCAGTGTATTTTTAGAGATGCACAGGCGTCTTATTTAGAGATAAATTCTTTGGTTTCTGTAGCATTCTTGAAGATATTATTATGATGATTATTATTTAGAATAGGGGTTGGCAAACTGTTTCTGTAAAAGACAAGATAGTAGATCTGTAGCTTAGGCTTCTTAGACCGTATGGTCTGTGTTGTACCTATTCAGCTCTGCCCTTCAAAAGTAACTCTACACTCTGTGTAAATGAGTGGGTGTGACTGTGTTCCAGTAATACTTTATTTACAAAAATACGTGGCAGGCTGCATTTGTACTTTGGGCCATATAGTTGGTTGACACTTGATTTAGGGTTCCAAACATTGTTTCTTGTGAAAACTGTACATACATCAGTTCTTTTCTTGCCATTTGGAAAATTTGAATTCGAGGAATTTTATTCATTCATTTAAAAGATACTGAGTGCCATCTAGGTGCCCATGCTTGTTCCAGGTGCTGGTAATATTGTGGACGTGACATACAAAATCCTGCCTGTAAGGAGCTTACATTTAAGTGGAAGTTTGTGAAATTAAGTGTATATTTGAAGTGATTTAAAAAGGTTAAGGAAACTCCTTTTAAATTCCTTATTTCAGAAATTGGATTTTTGCCTTACTTATATTTAACGTGACTGAACTTTGATAGTGCTTACTGATAAAATGCATTTAGGGTAATTTTCCAGGGAACTGCTGCTGTTCACCAGCTCACTTTTTACATGGCTTGCATATTCTTATCCTTAGATTTTAGCCCCAAAGTTAACAGCTTATTGTGCCCTTGCCTTCTCTGGTTAGTCTATGTGAAATGGCCTTCCCGATTTAACGATCTGTTTCTTTAAAAGCATATATTGCAATTTATATTTATCTTATTTGTTTTCTAGTTTGTCTCTTTCATGAGGATGTAAACTCCATGAGCCCAGGGACCTTGTCTGTTTTATTCACTGTTGTATCTCCAGCATTGAGCGTAGCATATAACACATGGCATTTGGTGAATAAATGTTCCAGTCATTGTACTTTCACAAGAGGTAGTAAGCCACCCTGACATGCATGGAGTGAGCAAGTTAGTCACAGAATAGAAATATCAAGGAAGATGGTATTCCTGGCCAAGAGAACAACAGAAGGAAAGCCTTAAGACAGGAACATGTTTGAGGAACCAGTATTTCTGGAACTCAGAGAGGAGGAGCAGCTTAGATTAAATTTAGGATAGAGCCCAGTGCCAGATCATGCAGGGCCTTGAATAATCTGATAAAAAGGCAAAATACAAAACATTTTTAGATTTGTTATTTTAAGGTACTGCATTTAACTGAGATTAAAGCTGCAGACTAGGGCTGCGCAGCATTGATTACATTAGCACTTGGTTCAGATAGAGTGTAATATGATTCTTAGAGAAAGCATAGACCAGATGTCTCCAACTAAAGCAAAGCACTGAGTGCCAATCTAAGCAGCTAGTGTTTTACCTAAATTAGCTCATCCTTCTGTTTTGTTGTTGTTGTTTTAGTTATTGATCATTTTCAGCATATATGTATCTGACCATATTCTGAATACAATATTATGTGCAAATAATACCACATTATCATTTATATGTGATTTCCATTCTGTTTGCATAAAAATGGTTTCATAGAGTATTTGTGTGGCATCTACTCTGTGATCAGCACTGTGCTCAAGAAAATGTGATGTACAGTGTAATCAGAGATCGTAGGCACTCTAAATATTCATGGAATAAATCTTACAATTTTTTTATTTTTAGGGTAGATTCATATTTTTATATACGTACAAAATATATATATTTTTGTTTTTGCTTCTGCCAGGTGGAGCACCTACATAATTTCATTTTGTTTCGGTTTTCTATGGGCTTCATTGATAGCATAATTGCCAAATGTAAGTATGCTTTAAAATGGATAGTGGAATGAGATTTGTGGAAAAAGTGAAGTGTTATTAATGTTTCAATCCTAACTGTTTTGTGTCAGATCTTGCCACTGTTGTCGGTTACCTGGTTGTCAGTCGTCCTTTCCTAGATTTGTCTCATCCTCGACATGTCAAGAGTACACATTCAGAACTTCTAGAGGTAAAGTATTAGTAACCGTTGTCATAATAAATGGAAAATTTCAATATAAAAACAAAAGCTGATTTTTAGTCTTAGAAACATAAGTGAAAACCAATATTTATTTCTTTTTAAGGATTACTACCAAAGTGGAAGAATGCTTTTGCGAATGTCTCAAGCTCTGGGTCGGATAGTTTTGGCTGGCCGTGAGATGACGAGATTGGCCGGGTAAGTAAGATTAGTAATGATGAACAAACAGTTGCAGAGAAGTTTTAAAACTGTGTAATACTTAATGATTATGCCCAGTTGAGGTTAAGATAAGGGGCAACGAAGTCCCGTTTCCTACTCCTGGAAGCTGATTTAGGACCTTTAAAGAAGATTTTTCTCTGATAGTAAACTTTTCATGTTTGCTTAAGACAGCTGTTTTGAGCCTTCAACCAGGTTAGTGGTTCTCAAGCTGTCTGCTCTACGGACACTAGTATTCGATAAGTTGGGAAATGTTAAGTCATGGCAATCTTTTCTTAATTTACAGAAAATTAAGTTAATGAAGAGAATTTTCGCATTTGAACTTTTTTGTCCTCCTCTGTACTTTTTTCCCCCCATAGGTCTTGTTACTGGCAACCTAGCAAAGGATAAACACAGATGAAGTTGATTTTAATGGGTAAAAAGTAAAAAGTCACTTCGTGGTGTCTGTGGCTGCAGTTGTAAATATGGTCATACTGTTAGGTGAAGTTGTTCTTAGACCATAAAATGGAATTAAATATTTCAGTATTTTAAGCTCTAATATAAAGGGCTTGGTATGGTGTAAAAAACACCATCATGTAAAAAGTACTTCTGAAGAAATTGGATCACATCGGATCCTTCCCAGACCTGTGACCCATCCGCCTGTTTCTTCTTTATTCTTCCTTATCTTCTATGGCAGTTTAGGGCTTCATTGCAAGATAGAGGAGATTGTCTACTGCTATGAGGAGTCTGTTTCTCTTGAGAATGCAGACACTCTTCTTGCTTACTAATAACTTTTCTCATGTCTTTATGGTTCATGGTAGATGGGGTGCTTCTGTTCCTTTGGAAGGTTTCTGCTTGATTTTCACTCTTTTGATTCTTTGATGCAGATTGCTTTCTCTTTGACCATCATGTTATTTTTATTTCCTCAATGTCTTGGCGTTAGCTTTGATTTCTCTCTATTGCCACAGTGATTTCCAGCTAATATTAACACTTCATCTTTTCTCCCTTTTGAAGTAGGAAAGAGAGGAATCTTCCGTATTTGTCCGTGTTTATAGGAAGGTAGCAGGCATTTTGGCATACTTGTAATAAATGCCTTCCTCAGACGGAGAAGCTAACTATACTTGGCATTGTAGCTCATTCTAGCAGGAACTTGGTCCATACTTCCTATGTCTAAGGAATGCACTAGTACTAGTCCTTAGTCTACTAGTCTAGTATCTACTAGAAACTTCCTTAAAATTCTAGTGGCATACAACTTTCTTGTCTCACCTGTTAAAAGAAGTAACTATGTGTTGAGGTGGGGATCCTATGAAACCTCTTCCCTTATCCTGTTCCTGTTGTCCTACTGAAACATAATAAAGCATGCATACACTATTAGCACTCATACTTTCTGATGATAAGACTTCTTCTTTTAGGTTATTTCATTTAAACTAAATTATAATTTTGGAAACTTGAGTTCAGTTTGAATAAGTTTTGAAGTTACACAATGTCATATGTCGTTACATCTCAAATAACAAAAATAATAGAGATATGATGGCCTTTGGAGTTTTCATTAGGACTTTTTTGTGTGTGTGTTTTTTTTTTAGTTTTACTGCTCGGATTACAGAATTAATGCAAGTACTAAAGGATTTAAATCAAGGCAAATATGAACGCACCATGGTCTCACAACAGGAAAGGGGTAAATATGAATGCACTGGGCCATATAGTTTAAATTTTGGCTGACATAATGTGGTGCTTTAATACTTATTTTCCACTTAAGGTATTGAAGAAGGAACACAAGTCATTCCCTTGATACCTGGTGCTGGAGAGATCTTCAATGCTGATAACATTATAAAGTATGTATTGAAAAGTTCTTTAGCACCATAAACATTTGCTAACTGCATAATAGCCTTTCTCTTTCAGCTGCATTTGCTTAGTATTTAATGTAAAATTTTAATTTTTTTTTTATCAATTTCCTCTGTAGATTTGATCATGTTCCTTTAGCAACGCCAAATGGAGATATCTTGATTCGAGACCTTAATTTTGAAGTAAGTTTTTAAATGATTGTATAAAAGCTTAGATCAGATTCAGAATGTGAAATGGAAAACTGTTTTCTGAATATTTAAAATAACCGTAAGGCTTGTCTTAGTCTCTGAATCCGCAAAATTGTTTTAAAAAGTAAGTCTTTGAAACACTTAGAAATCTATTTTTCTTAATTGTCAGAACTTTAAAGTTTCCTGTATTACTATGAAAAAATCTTTTGCAAATGAAGTCTGTCTCAAGAAAGCGATAGAAGGTATAGTTACTTGTAATCTCTGGTGAGGAATGAATATTTAAACATGCAATATAATTTTATTCTAAGTTAAAAAAAAACTATGGTTTGGTATTGTTTTGACCGTGCAGGAGGGTCTATACCTATACAAACAAAATACAGAATTTGTTATAACTGAAAACATGGAAGAGCAGCACAGTAGCACTGCAGTAACATCTCATGCCAAGTGAATAGTGCTGCTGAGTCAGTGTGGTCTGTTAATCAAATGGGGATATAGCAGATGCTATTAAAAAGAAGAAGCAAAGATGCGTAGTTTTGTGATTTATAAGACATTCCCAGACCTGAGGAACTATAACTATTAGGTTATATGTCTGTTACGACTTTATGAATAGTTCAGATCTGAAAATCTTGTTGATTAGTAACAAATTCCTATCATGGAGGCTGTCTCCCCAGGTCTAGATATCATTTCTCTAGAACAACACTGTCCCATTGAACCGTCTGCAGTGATGGAAATGTGCCATGTTTGCTTTGTCCAATATAGTAGCCACACTTAAAATTTAATTTTAATAAGTTAGATCTTAAATAGCTACACGTGACTGACCTAGTGGCTACCATATTGGACAGCACAGCTCTAGAATTCTTCTCCACATGCCTACATGAGTGGCCTTCTATAATTTGTTTTATGTGGAGCGTCTTTTCAACTACTTTCACTTTAGAAATGTCTGATAGTTGGGGCCCCTGGGTGGCTCAGTCGGTTAAGTGTCTTGACTGCGGCTCAGGTCACGATCTCATGGTTTGTGAGTTCAAGCCCTGCGTTGGGCTCTGAGCTGTCAGCTCAGAGCCTGGAACCTGCTTCAGATTCTGTGTCTCCCTCTCTCTGCCCCTCCCTGCCCCTCACTTTCTCTCTCTCTCCCTCTCAAAAATAAATAAACATTAAAATAATAATAAAAAAGAAATGTCTGGTAGTTGATAAAATAAGTATCGTTACTGGATTTGTTTTGCAATTGTTATAATCTTCAGCAAGTTTTCGATTTTGTTCCTCTTAGTAATGTATATTTTTTAAGTACATCCCCACTTTCTTTTTAAGGAACTATAAAAATGAAAAATGTTAGCTATGCAAAGTACTTTGAACTTATTTGACAATGAGTATTATATACTACCATATTTATTTTCAAGCCAGGAAACACAAGAATACATAGGGAAAGTGTAAATATAATTGGTAAATAATGAATGACTCCCAAGTATCCCAGAAGTGTCTCATTTAATTCTTGGTGTGCCAGTCATTGTGGTGTGCTCCCTTGGCATAGTAGGTAGCCACCTACCTGGCTTGATTTCAGGGATAAAGAAGAGCTCAGAACCCCATTTTTGTTACACCAGGGTGAAGGAGGGCCATGGGATTTCTCCAGTGAAGAATCCTCTTGGCCCTTTCTCCTACTTTCCCTCACTTTGTCTTGATGCAGAAATAGATTACACCAACAATACAGATGTATACTTGATTAAGCATAGTGAGAATGGATTTGGGATCTATACGTACAGATACACGGAATAGAAAAGATCCCGATTATTGTCTGAGGTATTACCTACTTTGTCACATGGGTATCATGCTAAAGGTGTCACTCTCTTTTTAGTCCTGAAGCCCTTCTTTTTAAAGTCCCTATGTTTGGACTTAATAAACTTCTGGCTAGTCCCTATAGCTTCACTTCTATAGTCTCAGAAAGACCATTACTTTTTGCTCTTATTTTGGTTTCACTTGGAAAGTCTTTTGAGTCCCTAGTTATGCCCCTGCTTGTGTTTTACTTTGTGACTGTGTTTCTTAGGACCTGTGATCTCTCCTGTTGATTCTTATTTTGTTTTCTCTTCCAGTGGAAACTGTTTCTTTGACTTGTGCTCTTTGGGCCTAGTGTAATATATTCCTCTTCTGTCTCTCTCTGAGTTAGGTGTTTTAAGTTAGACTTGGCTTTTTCTCCTTTATTTCTGTCGTTTTCCTTAATGTAGCCTTCCTTTATTTAACAAACATCCTTTACTTCTTTGTAACCTTTAGTTATTTTCTACCCATTTGGCTTACATGAAAATAAGGATTCCTTTCTCCTGAAAAGAGGCATAATAAAACAGACTTGGCCACCAAAAAATAAATGTTTAATGCTTTATGATTATTTTGTCTTTTGGGTCACCTAATGACAAGATAATATATACCTCTTTAGGATAGGGGATTTTATCCCTCATTCCTTTATAAACTCCCCCACCACAGGTGTATTTATCCATTCAGATGTAGGCTGAAGAGACCCTCAGAGATTAAAGACTTGTGGATTATAATGTAGGCATTAAAATAGTACTTTGTAAGTTACTCAGATTTTTACTTTTTTAGTAAGGCACATTTATAATGTTTGAAGAAGCCTGTGAATCTTCATAAGCAGCATACTTTTATATATTCTCTTTTTTACTTAAATCATATTTATGTGTGTAACTGTTTTTGATGAAGTCTTATATCTGGGGGAATATTTTATTGGTAAAAATATAGTGGTACAGAGCACTTGTTGACCCCTTAAACCGATCCTGGAACCTCAGTAATTATAGTGTTATTAAGAACTTCGTAACTATAAAAGGCCATAAGTGAAAGTTACCCTTGTGTTTTAGTCTTCATTTAAGCTGGGGTGGGGGGACATTTTTATAAATCTTTACCATGGCAAAATTATCGCTGGCTTATCATGACTGAGTCATAATCGGAAGTTTGCCCACCATTACCAAAAGCCATGGGGGTAAAGTTATGGCTGAATCCAAGACATTTGAGCATAAGAGAGTGCTTACAGATGTCTGTAAGTCTTATTATTATTTTTACATGTCATTATAAATTTGGTTTTTGGATTTCCTGGCATATTGCACCAAATAGAGTGGAGAAGTATTGGATATCAGTGAAAACCACAATGAACAGTTAGGAACAGAAGGTCTATATGATTGATATGACTCAACGCGTAGTAGTGGGGAACCATTTAATTAACAGCCCTGAACTTTAGGAGCTCCTAAGGAATCACCATTATAGTAAAGTAAAATTACTATATATAATCAGAAATATTCACTATATTCAGTTTCACAGGAAAAGGTAATAGGTAATTCCTTAGGAAGTCCATCAAAAAGATTCTTTAAAAATAATTTCTCGGAAAATGGGATAGTTCATTTTTCTGGAAAAATCATTCAGTATAGTTCATTCTCTAACACTGAAGTACAGAAGATGTGGTATTTTATTGTAGATCAGTTATGTGGTAGGCTAGTCATTCTCAACCATTTTTAAAAAGAAGGCTCATTCTTTTGTTACTGTGGTAAAATATACATAACGTACAATTTATCCCTTTCTACCATTAATTTTTTTTATTGTGGCAAAATGCACATAACGTAAAATTGACTCTTTTAACCATTTTTTTATAAACAGTTCAGTGCCATTAAGTTCATTTACAGTGTTGTGCAGCCATCACCACCAACCATCTCCACAAATTTTTATCGTAACCAACAGAAACTCTGGACCCATTAAACAATAATTCCTGATTTCCCACTCTCCCCAACCCCTGGTAACTACAATTCTACTTTATGGATATGACTATTCTAGGGACCTCATATAAGTGGAATCATACAGCAGTTGTCCTTTTGTGTCTAGCTTATTTCTTGAAGTTCCATCCATGTTGTAGCACGTGTCAGAATGTCCTTCCTTTTCAAGGCTGAATCCTATTCCATTGTACGTATAGTCTACATTTTGTTTATCCCTTCATCCTTCTGGGTTGCTGCCACCTTTGGCTGTTGTGGCTAATGCTGATGGCTGTGTTTCATCGAGTAAAAGGCAGTCCTTTCAGTGGCTCCCAGTGCCCTGTAGGATTTGCCTGCACTGCTTTCCACCAACCTCTTACTTCTCTCAGCTCTTTTCCTACTACTCCTTCCTCCCTCTCAGTTTTCTCAACCTCTTTTCTGTTTTTTGACAAGGATACGTACATTCCTGCTTCAGTGCCTTTGAACCAGCTTTTTGTGGGTAGGGTTAGGCTATAGCAGTCTTCCTCTAGATAAACTCTAATTTACTCCTTTCAAAGTTGCCCAGTTGTCATTTCCAATGAGTCCTGGTCTGACCACCTTAAAAATGTAACCTCCCCTAACTGCTTCCAAATTTCCTTACCTTGGTATATATTTTTTTCCATAGCACTTATTTTCTAAGATACTATTTAGTTTACTCATTCATTGTGTGTATTCTTTATTTTATGTCTCTCCCACTAGAATGTAAACTGGTACGGGCAGGTTTTGTTTGTTTTGTTTTTTATTCATTAGTATAGCTCCATTACCTAAAGCAGAACCTGACACTGAGCATTCTATAAGTATTCATTCAATTAAGTAATAAGAACATAAGGCCTCAACAGTTAAAAAAATTTGTCAAAGGCAGGTTCCACAGCTAGAGTAACTCATACCTTTGTTGTCTCCTTTCCTGCTGTGATACATTGCTCTGTAATGTTGTGAGCTGAAATTCTAACCCAGGTTTCTAATTCTTCACAGGGTTGATTAACACTTATATGAGACCATAAGCTCAGAACTTAACCACTCTTGATTACGTTTTTTTCATTTAACTTTACATCATTGCAGAGCGATTTGGTGGCACTTGTAAATATTAATAATGCATATATACTTCTAAGAATCTGATCTGTATAGAAACATTTCTCACCAATGCATAAATTCACTCACTGATTCCAGTTCATTGCAGTATTATCTAAAAGAGCAAAGCAAAATGCAAAAGACCTAACAAAAAGGAGGTAGTTAAATAAATCAGGGTGCATTCTTAGAATGGAATACACTGTAGGCATTTAAAAATAGAATGGGAGGAATCTGAGTATACTGACTTAGAATATTTGTGATATATTATTAAATAATAACATATAGAACATACACAGTATGATTGCTTTTTTTTTTAAAACATACACACACATACTTGTTTTCAAGAATTCTCAAAATTTATAAGCGGCAGCCATTGATTTTTAAATGAAAAAAGTGAGTAAATATTGACAGTAAACAAAAATGAAAGGTCAACCAAACCCTCCACTGCTTCTACCTATTATCACATTTATAGACAAACTAGAAAGCTTATCGTTAGCAAAGAACAAATTGACTCAAAAGAAATGTTCACTGAGTATATATTCCCTATTAATTCATGGACTGATTTTCAGGTTCGATCCGGGGCCAATGTTTTAATTTGTGGTCCAAATGGCTGTGGGAAGAGCTCACTTTTCCGTGTTCTTGGCGAAGTAAGTACAAATTGGCCTCAAGATATTGTAGTCTTCTTTTGCCATACAATCTACTACATGGTGAAATTTATAATTGCTCCTCTCCCCCTTCCTTTTCCTTTTATAGTTATGGCCTCTTTTTGGAGGACGTCTAACTAAACCTGAGAGAGGAAAGTTATTCTATGTTCCTCAGGTAAGACCTTGTTTATTTTGTAATCTTTGATTTAAAGATCTTTTCATTTATTTTTAAAGAATTCACTTATAATGATTTTTGCTCTGCCACTATCAGAGACCTTATATGACCCTTGGAACACTTCGAGACCAAGTGATATATCCCGATGGAAGAGAAGATCAGAAAAGGAAGGGGATATCTGACCTAGTAAGGAAATGCTTATGGACTAGACCTACTGGAAATCCTCCATATCAGATTCTTTATCTTAATCAGTTAAGCATTTTAACTGCCAGGTAGTTTATCCTAGCCTGAAAAGCCTTCTAAAACCTTGTCATTAATTATAACTTTCCAGGTTGAGGTAAGATGTTAACTACTTTGCTTAAATATGGTTTGGTGAATTTAACCTTGTCTTTAAACTATTACTTTTTTTTTTTTCATTGCCCTTATCTTTTAATTATATGCAATAGTGTTATTCTCTTTAAGCTACCACATATGTCAAAGTTAGCATAGATAGGAAGTAAAGGATTTAGGGCTATCTTTGTGCCACATTCTTTTGTGAAATGTGCCCCTTTAAGTAATATTGGCAGTAGAATTACAGCGATTCTAGTTTAAAAAATAAAGCAAGCTAGAGAATGTTGGTTTACATTAAGTGTGATTTAATCTTTAATCATTTTGCTGAAAGGTACTAAAGGAATACTTAGATAATGTCCAGTTGGGTCATATCCTTGAACGTGAAGGAGGCTGGGACAGTGTTCAGGATTGGATGGATGTCCTCAGTGGTGGAGAGAAACAAAGAATGGCGGTAAGTTATTCTTGGACTACATTGCATGACAGGGCAACTGATTGCTTAGGGTCACTCTTACAGTCCAATATTTTGATTAATCAAGGCGCACAGTTTTATCTTAATCTTTTATTTAGTAAGTATTGTTGAATGGATTAGTTTAAATGATAATAGAAATGCTTGAAAATATATAACTTGCATGTACATTTAGAAGTCTGAAAAATCCATAAATTTTCTAATTATATTACTATTAATTCATTGGGGATTAATTAAAGTTGGGGAAACTTTCCATCACATTGATCCTGGGTTATATGGTAGTCCAAGATGTCTTCTATCTTTTTCCTGTTGACCTCTCACTGAAGCTGTTCTTTCTGAAATATCAGAAGGTAGTAGAAATCATCCACTCTAACTTTGTTCCCACTTTATTCGGTTCCTGCCCTGCCCTCTACCATTATGTGTGTCCTGGTTTCAGGGCTCAGTATCTGCTACCCAAAATTATTTAGATTTCTTACATTTTCCTAATATGAAGAAGGGTTTGCAAGGAACTGTTTTAATTTTGTGATTGTCTAAACTTATTCCTGATCAAACTTGACTACAGGACACTGCATATTAAGAGTGATACCTTGAGTACTCTGTTAAGAGGGATAAGTTTTAAAGAGTCATTTTCTAACCCTGCATACCATAGTTTGCACAGATCCAGAGGAATTTTTTTTCCAGTGTTAACCTTGTGGAAATTAGAACTGTGGCTAAGGAAAAACAGTAAAAGAAATGGCTTATTGCTGAATTGCTTACTCATTATCTTTAGATTCTATTCTCCCTTTTCTGTTGCCTCCTATTCCCTGATACTGCATATTATTTTTCCCAAAACATACCCATTCTATATGAACTTAATAGTGATTTGTCTGGCTAGTGCTATAGCATAAGATTAATTGATAGAGTGAAGAATGAGTCATAAACAAAAGAAAAGAGATGTCAGCCACACTCAAAATGGAAATTGGGTGGTAGGAGTGAGAATTTGAAGTGATTGGGGTTTCTGGAATCAATTTAGTAGATGACTATAGAAATAACTGCAAGTCAGTAGAGCAAATTTAAATTCTTGTTACCATGACTTCAAAGAAGATGTCCAAGATTCACAAATGGACACAGTATAAATCCAGAGAAAGAAAAATAAATGTGCTGAACTAAGAACTCTATGTGTAGGGTACAGAAGGGATAGTTCTTCTTTGAAGATAAGACGTTCAAGGTCTGGAGGAGTGAGAGAATATGTTAGGGAGAGGACAAGGGCCAAAGAAGGAGCCCTGTAAAACCAGATGAGCCACTCTGGAGCGCCTGGGTGGCTCAGTCGGCTAAGCGTCGGACTTCGCCTCAGGTCATGATCTCACAGTCTGTGAGTTCGAGCCCTGCGTCGGGCTCTGTGCTGACAGTTCAGAGCCTGGAGCCTGTTTCAGATTCTGTGTCTCCCTCTCTCTCTGACCCTCCCCCATTCATGCTCTGTCTCTCTGTCTCAAAAATAAATAAATGTTAGAAAAAAAAATTAAAAAATAAAATAAAACCAGATGAGCCACTCTAGAGTTGGTTGGGAAATGGAGGAGCTTACCCATGACAGGGCTGCACGACCAAGCCATTGGCAGGTGTGTTCTGTGTAGACCAGTGTTTGCAGAACTGACTGTGAAATTTAAAACCGAGCATACTGCTTTGCTACCTTCAAAAGGTTTGTGGGGAGAGAGAGAAGGCTAATGCAACAGATGTTGATGTTGGTGAAGTTGGGCGAAGAGTTTTTGTGTGGTCACTTTACTGTTCCTACAGTTCTGGGTAGGCTTGAAAATTTTCAAAGTAAACAATTGAGGGAAGAGAGGACATAATTTTTATAAGTTATAAAAATTATAATTTTTTAGGAGTAATAAGCTTGAAAGGTCTAACCACCCCAAACAGTGAATCTGTAAGAGTGATGGTTGGTATAAACAGATGAACCAAAAGAACTTTTGGGTAAGGAAAGTCACATTTAAATTTGAGGGAATGGAGTAATACCTTTGAATAAAGGGAGGTCTGGTGAACACATTTCTAAAAGTTCCTTGAAAAACGTCAGTATAAATGTAGGGGAATGAGATTATTATTCCATTATCTTAGTGAAAAAAACCTTAATTATGGTGTAATTTTCACAGAGTTCACTATTAGCTAGGAATCTACTCTGTGCAGGCACTGAGATAGGTGCCTGCCCTTGATAATTGAGTGAGGAGATACAGATGTTCTCAGCTATCTCACACACAAGGCAGTCTTCAGTTACAGCTGTAAGGAAGGTGCACTGGGATAACACGAGGGAAGGATTGGTTTTGCATGGCAAACTCTATCTAACTCTCCTGACAACCCTGTCAGTTAAGGTACAGACAAGGGAAAGCCTTGCAGGCTACTGAGTGGCAGAACAGAGATTCAAGTGCAGGTGGGTCTGACACCAGAATTCTTGCTCTTTTTTTTTTTTTTTTTTTTTAAGTTTATTCATTTATTTTTGAGAGAGAGAGTGGGAGCGGGGCAGAGAAAGAATCCCATGCAGGCTCCACACTGTCCTCGTGGAGCCTGATATGGGGCTGAAACCTATGAACTGTGAGATCATGACCGGAGCTGAAGTCAGATGCTTAACTGACTGAGCCTCCCAGGCGCCCCCAGAATTCTTGCTCTTGACCAATATGTGATACAGCCTCCAGTGTCCAAGTGGACTGTCTGTCCAGTTCCCTTCTCTCACTGTCTGTCACAGTCTCAGGTAACATCTTCCTTACCTCCCCTGCACTTGTTTGGGCCCAGCCATTACCAGCCAGGGTTGCTCTACCCAGTATCGTAAGTTGCAATATCTTACTTCTCTGATTGATAGTTATCTTTCCTACTCCTCTATTCTTGTTCTTCCTATTTAGTAAAGTTTTTTTTTTTAATTATGAAAAAGTATGTATGATAGAAAAGTTGGAATATTTTTAAAAGTATAAAGAAGGGCCAAAACCCCCCTTACCAGAGATACCATTGTCATAAAGTTTTTAGTGTTTTTTAAATCCATTTTTGCAATTCTTTTTCTTTTACCTAATTGGCAACTGTCTCCTTGCTTCAGACACCCTGATATTTTGAATATTGACCCCTCCCTTTTCTTATGATTGATAAGTCTCCTTCTGACTCTGCCTCCTTTCTGTCCAGTACAAACTTAATAATCCAGGTCCTGGCACATAGAAGGTACTCAGGTAGTATTTCTTAAAGGAATGAACAAATGATCCCTTCCCTTTAACTTCCTTTCCCACTTTTTGTTTCCTCTTATTACCTCAACCTCAGCCCAAGAGCAGTTGTTTGCGTTGGCGTTTGTGTACATAGGCTCCTGAGCGCAGCTGAAAGATCAGAGTGACGGGGGTTGGTACCGCCACGCTTTCATGGCTTCCAGTCTTCCAGGGGCTCACAGCATGGTCGGGCGATCATTTACTTACTTTTGCCCCTCTCTCTTATTTTCCATGAGTATCATTTATAAACTACCAATCTCAGGCTTTCTACCCCATTGCCTACTCCATGTCTCTCTGCAGAACAGCTCAACTTCTCCTCAGAGGAGAAAGAGAAGCTGTTATGTCAGTGAGATGACAGCTCATTTTTATTGAGTGCTTAATAGATGATAGGCGGTAGGCTAAGCCCTCTCCATTCAATTCTCACAAGTCCCCTGGGGCAGGAACTGCGGAGCACCCCGTGTTTGGAGGAAGGTGAGCTATAGCACAGTGAAGTGTGCTTTCACACAAGGCTGGGGGTGAAGGTGACCACCGAGGCGTAGGCGGTGGCGTGTCCAGCTCAGGTGGCAGTACAGCTGCAGGGGTCATGGACTTATTCCCGTCACCATCTCGTACTGTGGGATCAAGTACTGATGGCGGAGTGGGAGAGAGACACGTGAGAAAATCTTTACACGATGTGCTGGGTGTGGTGAGGTAGGTATGCAGAGACTTCCATGGGGACACAGAGGAGGGGCATTTGTGGAATGCCTTTAGATAACCAATCCTCTTCATTGAGCTTGCACTAGGCTGCCCTGACCTCCCTCATTCTGTCTGGAGGCTATGTCATCCTTCCTCTTGAGAAAAGCTCAGTGTCTCCATGTTTTTGGACCCTCTCTCCTCTGACTTTATCGTATTCTTTCTTTCGGTTATGCACATGTGCAGACACACACCCTGTATTCAATCTCTTCTGGTCCTTCTCTTTCAGAAAGACATTCCAGGTCTCCCTGATCTAAAAGGCAAACTCAGCCTTAACCTCTGTCGTCTGTACCTTTCATTCTCTGCACAGATGAACTTCTTCATAGTCTATACTTAATGCTTCCCCTTCCTCACCTCATCAAATAGATACAAACCCCAAGAGAGCTGCTTATGTTCTGGCCATTAATTTTATCAAATATTTAAATGTTTCCTTCATGCAAATATCGAGTGTACAGTAGTGATTAAAATAATCTCTGCTTGGGGCGCCTGGGTGGCGCAGTCAGTTAAGCGTCCGACTTCAGCCAGGTCACGATCTCGCAGTCCGTGAGTTCGAGCCCCGCGTCAGGCTCTGGGCTGATGGCTCAGAGCCTGGAGCCTGTTTCCGATTCTGTGTCTCCCTCTCTCTCTGCCCCTCCCCCGTTCATGCTCTGTCTCTCTCTATCCCAAAAATAAATAAACGTTGAAAAAAAAAATTAAAAAAAAAATAATCTCTGCTTATGCAAATATACTAGCCTCGAGGAGTAGACAAAGAAACAAGACAACACACAGTTCAAAACCTATGAAGCACTGCAGAGATGTTAAGGAGTGACCCGCTTAGATTGTGGGACAGGGGTCAGGGTAGGTTTGAGGAGGTGGTCTAAACAGAAATTTCAAAGATGCGAGAAGCAGAGTGCGGTGCGGTGTTTGAGACATAAGAAAAATGACATGTGCTAAGCCTCTCTGGCCTTAGACACCTTGTATCCTGGTCATACCTTGGCCAGAATGTGGAGGTTAGAAAGTAAGTAGGAATCCGATTATGCAGGGTCTGTGGGCCATGCTAAGGAGTTTGGGTTTTGTTCTTAGTGAAGTGAGAAGTTGTTGAAGGGGTTTAAGCAGAAGAGTGAAGTTCTTGGATTTACATTTCTGAAGAGTCCTTCTAGTTACAGGGAAAATGGATTGGAGAGGAGTGAAAGAGGAACTAGGCCATTTGTGGTCCTCTAGGCAGGAGAGGATTGTATTCTGGGCTGAGGGCATGATTTTGGAGATGCAGTAAAGTGAATGGACTACAAAAGACTGAAGGACTTACTCGAATGGACTAAAAAAAATGAGGGGTAGGAATGTGGAAGGAAGGAGAAGAAGGGAAAGATCAAGGAGGACTCATGGCCTTCTAGGTTGAGCAGCTGTTTGATAGTGTGATTTGCTGAAATGTTTAAGATGGGGGTGGAGTACATGAATGGATTTTAAGGGGAAAATCAGATAACTAAGTAGAAATATCAAAGAGGAATATTTATATATCAGTCTCGTGATTAGAAGAGAAGGATGGGCAAGAAATACATATTGAGAGTTTACAAATGTAAATAATACTTGAGATAATGAGATTTAATGAGATCACTCAGACAATGTAGGAAAAAGAGGAGAGGACTTAGGAATTGGCCCTGAGGAACCCCAACATTTAGTGGTCCAGCAGAAAAGAAAATGCTGGAAAAGAAACTGAGGAAGCAGCCTAAGAAGTGAGAAGAAACGTTAAGACTATGGTTTCACTGTTACTTTCTCAAGAAGGAGGAAGTGGTCATCTGAGTTGCATGTAGCAGAGAAGATAAATTGGGTAAGGATGGAAAAGTGTCCATTGGTCTTGCAACATGGTGATCGTTGTTGGGGGCTGATGACCAGCTGGCATATCTGTTAGACAAAGGATCAGGGTAAATAATTCCCAGAAAATAAAATACGTATGGAAAATAAATGAGCACATGTTCAGCATTTTTGCCAATCAAAGAAATGGAAGCTGTAACGATCTTGATGTTAATTTTTACTTACAAAATTTGCAGAGCCTTTAAAAAATGAGCACACCCAGTACTGACCTCAGGGATATAAAACGGGGGCACTCAAAAATAATTGGTGGAAATAGTAATTGGCAGCTTAATATCAATTGCCATGACTAAGGTAACAGAATATTTAGAAGTAAACACTATTTGCACTTGAGCCATCTAGAGTCTGAATTCCAAGATTTGGTTACAATATATACCCTCTAATCTTGTTTAGAGAACTGTCTCTGATAGTTTAAAACTCAACTTCATTTCACATCACAGCTTAAATGTTTTGATGAACTCTTAACAGTATTTCCCATGTGTTACATTTTCCCCTTTGTTTGGGAAGACAGTAAAAACAGGTTTTTTGATACTGTTTCTGTTTTGGGAAAACATTTTTTGAGTTAAAATAATTTTTGCACTTCTTTTACAAGACTAAGTGTAAATCTAGTTGAGCTTACTAGTTTTTGCATGTTGTGATTACACAAAATATTTCTTTCTGTGCTTCAGATGGCAAGGTTATTTTATCATAAACCCCAGTTTGCCATTTTGGACGAATGCACAAGTGCTGTGAGTGTGGATGTGGAAGGCTACATTTACAGTCATTGTCGAAAGGTAAGCACTTTAGGTTCTCAGTTTTAGGGTTTGTGTCATTCTTCTCTGTGTACTCTGTGTCCAGCGAAATATCTGTCCAAAGAGAAGATTTCAAGTTATTAAGTAACGAAATTACTATCAAAGAAGGATGTATCCACTGTAATAAAGATTTCAAATGATAATTAGTAGATATGAATAAAAGAAAAAGAATTGTAAATGATTTCTGTATATAATTCTTTAGCCGTATCTTAGATTTGAAACAAATAGTATATTTAAACTCACTTCCAACTTTCTTACCAAAGTTTCTTTTGGTAGCCCTTTCTTTAAGTAACTATTGAGTGGTTACTAGCAGTATATCCTAACCATTCGCAGCATTGTGTAAGTCAACGAAGTACAGGAGTCTTTTAACAACTTGTAGCTGTTCTTTGGGGATTTATAGTACATATAAAAGGTCATATCGCATATTTACAGTGTGAATTCCTACCCATCAGTGTTGGTACTAGCAGCAGCAGCATCTCCTGGGAACTTGTTAGGATGCAGACTCTCTGGCCCTACCAAGTCAGAGTCCACATTTTAACAAAATTCTCAGATGCACATTAAGGTTTGAGAAGCATTGGCATGATGACAAAGGAATGCATGTGCTACATTCATCTTTGTAGGAAGATTTTCATTACTGATTTTATTTCTGTAATGGTTTGTTTTCTATTCTTGAATCCGTTTCAGTCATTTATAATTTCTCTATGTATTTGTTCATATAAACTTTCAGATTTATAGGTATTGGAGGTATTTATAGGTATAGTCCGTTTGATCAATGATTTAGAGGCTGGTAGTTTTGACCATGCGACTTCCCCTTACATCTAGTTGTAGGCTGTGAGTCCCCACATAAGATGTGATTCTCCTATAAAGCATAGATTCCATTTAAAAGAAAAAAATTCTTATGGGACTCCCAGTTGATAATTTAACTTATACTACTGTAACAGCAATTGAATATGTATAAGTATGAAATCAAGTATGAGCCCCTTGAACTTAGAGCTGATTTACAGCCACAAAACTAGTAAATTCACAAATTAAGTACAGACAAAACAGAGTTTCAATTTGGTAACATTAAAGAGACCTCTAAATACTGTTTTGCTGAAACCAAACCACTGGTTTAGGATTTAATTATGGAAAGATACAGTCTGAGGTCCAGATCTTATATTTTGAATTTTGTTTATGTATCTTCAGCAATTCTAACAAAAAGAATGCTTTCATTAAGTTGAGATCTGATCCAATTATTGTGGAATCATAAGAATAAATAATTTCTGAAGTGAGCTCTCAAAGATTAAATAAATGTTGTACCACTGAAATGTATTTTATTAGTAACTTATTTTGTCATGCAGTTTCTGACCAATTTGAGAACCTTTCCACGTGACATCCAAAGTCACGGCACATTAAAAGCTTTAAGTGCTGTCACTTTAAGTAATCACTTGGTACCAGCAGAAGTATAAATCCAGACTTGGGCACTTAAATCTCATGTCGAAATGATCCGGAATGTACTTAGGCTAATTTTTAAAAAATTATCAAAATGAAAATAAAATTAGAACTCATGATGGAATTTTCTGGATATTCTGGCATTTATCTCTGTCAGCCTTGAGAGATCCATTTTAGGAAACCATGATCTAGAGCAGAGTTTCTCAGTCACCACTCTTCTGACATTTTGGGCTGGATAATCCTTAGTTGTGGGGGGCTCTCCTTTGCGTTATAGGATATTTGGCAGCATCTCTGACCTCCATTCATTAGATGCCAGTAGCTCTCTCAGTTGTGACAATCAAGAATGTCTCCACGACATTGCCAAGTGTCCTCTAAGGGATAAAAATCCTCCCGTCCCCAGTTGAGAACTACTGATCCAAAGCATCTGTAGTTATATTGATTAGTGTTTTGTTTTTAATCTTTATTACAGTCTAAATCTTTATATACAGTTTAAAAACCAATAAGCTTTTTGGGGCGCCTGGGTGGCTCAGTTGGTTAAGCGTCTGACTCTTGATTTTAGCTCAGGTCATGATCCCAGGGTCGTGGGATTGAGCCTCCCCCCGCCCCGCTCCCATGTTGGTCTCCGAGCTGGATGTGGAGCCTGCTTAAGATATTCTCTCTCTCTTGCTCTCGTTCTTTCTCTCTCTCCCTCACTCCCTCTCCTTCCCTCCCTCTCTCCCTCCCCTTCTACCTCTCCCCCACTCATGCTCACGCTTGCTCTGCTCTCTTGCTCCTTCTCTCTCAAAAAAAATTAAAAACAAAATAAAAAAATGAAAACCAATAACCTTTTAAAACCACAAGATTTTTCATTATTTTGCAGCAAGCTCAGCTGGCTAGCCAAACCTTGCCTGAACTAACAAAAGATATTTAAACTCTTAGACGTCTCAATGTCAGTGTTCTTACATGCTGCCACAGAAACATTCATGTGTTTAATTACAGAATTCTTTCCCAGAACCCTCCGGTGATGATACTACTACTTTTCCAAAATCTGAATTCCAAGACCTATTCCAAAACAGGGGTTCCACTAAAGGATTATGATCCTGTATTGGAAAAACAGATGTACTGTAGACAACACTATATTATATAGATTTAATTTTCCTGATTTTGACCTTTTGCTATTTTAACTGTTCTTGTACCCTTTTCATATATTTTTCGCAGTAAAATAGGAAATGTGTTGGGATGTATATTTTCTGCTCCATACAAAATAGTATACTTAATGCTAGTACCTGTTGTTTTTTTATTTTTAAAGACTTTATTGATACCTGTTTGTTTTTGTTATGTGGCCAATGGTCAGTACTTTGTGTTACCTTGAACATCGGCGTCCGTTGTAATTTTTTCTCTTTCACATTGATTTTTAACTATAGCTTCTGAAGACAGTCATTTTAATAGCTTAAAAATATATACTACTTTAATTTGTGATTCTGTGTTATTGATGTAAACCTAAATCATTTTCTTTCTATTAGGTCGGCATCACCCTCTTTACTGTGTCACATAGAAAGTCTCTTTGGAAACACCATGAGGTTTGTATTTCTTAACATTGAATGGTATAGGGGAATTTTATCTTATTTAAATATGTGCATTCAGGTGGTTATATGCTTTTAGATTTCTTGGTGTATGTTCCCTTTTAAATACATACCTTGAAGTACAAAAGGTGATTCTATTTCAGGTATATAAAATAAAATCGGTTTTTCTTAAATATTGTAGTTGTCAGTTTTGAAAGTTCTAATACATATAAACAAGCCTTCATTGTATTTGAGAGATACTAGAAAACCACTTGTGGTTCTCTGTTTTTATAAATGACTGTTGTATAATAACTGACTAAAATTTACACACCCTTATCACAGCTATTGCTAAGTAAAGTTTTGCTCACTACCCAGTATTGGCAGGAGGGGAAAGAGTCTCGAGGATTAGATGGCAGAAGGTTTAGGGACATTTTTAGTGAGATCATGGCTCTAAAGGGGAAACTGAATAATGTCGGCTATGTTTACCATTTCACTGTAACAAAATAGAATCATTAAGTAGTCGCTATAATTTACACAGAGATTGCGTGAGGTTTGCACTGGTACAATACCCTATTTATTCTGGTGCTTAAGCAGAGCCATTCTCGGTGTGGCAGTTCTTTTCAGCTCTTGATGTAAGGTGATCACACCCCAAACTAAACCCTGTTGATTCATTTTCCCTCCCTCCCTACTTTCTTTTTCTCTTTCTTCCTTCTTTTTCTTCCTAAATGATACATTTTAGGTAGAAGAACGGGTTTGAGAAAAATTAGAACAATGGTATAGGGTACCTTGTGCCTTAAAATACATACCTCATGGAGCAGCGTTTTCACCAAGTACTGGGCTACATAAATGTCCTTGAGGGATACAGAGTACTGTCTTTACCCCCAAGAACCTTATGGTTTATGTGATCGTGTACAAATGATCAAATGAAGAGCATGGGATTTAAAGTCAGAAAACCTGGGTTTAAGCACCACTGTTTCTGGCAACAGTTGCTTCCTTCATTAATAAAGTTTCTTATCCTTGCCTTCCTGTCTCCTAGATTACCATGAGGATCAGAGAAATAGCCTCTATGAAAGTGTTTTGTGAAAAATAATGGAATTCTGTATAGCTGCTTGACTTTTAAAGATTCTTTTTATGATCTTATGACATAATTTGACCATTTTTTCATGAATGAAGTGAGAAAGTGAATAACAAAGCAGTTTAAAAAATGTCCAGGCCTTTGTGTTTTCTCAGGGGTTCATAAACATTACAGCCAGAGGGCTGTGAGAGGACTTGGGCTTGATTTCCCCTCTTTTTCTGGTGGTGCACACAAGCAAAACATCAAGAAGTGATTATGTGAAGGAGGGGTGACACGTTACGATGTCAGAGGCCACAATAGCTAAGAAATAACAACATAGAAGACGGAAAAACAAGTCCTTTTTGTAAATAAAAAGCCACTAAATAAAACAGAAGCCTTTGTAACTGCCGTCCTAAGTGTCTTCAGTGGATAGGGTATATAGGAACTCTGTATAGCTCTTTTCCTCCTCTGCTAAGACCAAGAACTAACAAAAGCCTTAAGTTAGAGGTCCCACACTGATCCAGGAAACCAGATAAAGGAAGTATTCAAGACTGCCCTGTTGATCAGTGTGTTTTTACACAACCAAGATCAGATCCTTGTTTTTGTGGAGTTACAGAAGCATTCTGATTTGTAGGAGGCTTATACATTTGGTTCCTTCAAGATAATAAGGAATTCTGGTATTTTAGTTCTCATAAAGGAAAGTACTATATCCACTCCAAGCAGAATTATATTGTTGCTATTTTTAAAAAAGATAAGACGTCTTCATTTAGTCTTATTACCTTTCTGTGTATAAAACTTTTGACGGTTTTAGTAAAGCTTAAAGTAATTCCCAATCGTACTCTTGCATAATAACCTCTACATAAATTGCTGACAAAAAGGAAATTCTCTTAGTCATTGTTTTTTCTCCCCTGCTTCTTCCCTACAGTACTACCTGCATATGGATGGGAGAGGCAATTATGAATTCAAACAGATAACAGAAGATACAGTTGAGTTTGGCTCTTAGAACCCAGAGAGCTGTACTGCTTCAATGAATTCATTACAGAACACACTTAGAAATATACAGTACATTGTAAAATAAAGTTGAGCTTGTTTGTTTTTAAACAAAGCAACAAATTAGCTATGAAATGATTGAGAACAAGTTGTTACAATTAATATTATATAGGAGATTGCTAATTGTGTATATGTTGGTTTAATTATTAATATGTACTAAGAATGTCCTTATTCTTGTGGTTAAAAACCTGCCTAAATTAAATTGGGCTTAAATCAGTGTAACCTGATTCATCCTGGGATGTAAACCATTTGAAGTCAGCTAATTTGACTTTGATGGCTCTATCTTTTCCTTCAGTGAAGAACCCTATTAAAAACTGGGGTCATCATTTATCCTGTTCTAACAAGATAGTTTTGAGTTTCATTTTCTTGTGCTCCATGATAGTGGGAAACAAATCAGTGTATTATCAAAATGTACAACATCAATGCATAATAGCATTTATTACACGGTGGCAGATTTCTTTAGCTGCCACCACTACACTCATTCCTTGTATATGTGTCTTGGGGTACATTTGACTCCAGGAAAGCCATTTGAATTTTCTTTGGCTAAATCATAAATGTGCCCCTCTCAATCTGCAGTATTGAGTTGTTTTGAGGGTTCTTTGTGGTGATATAACAAAAATTTATGTGCAGTCTTGCTTACAAGGGGTGGTTACTATGTTTCACACCTGATCTTCCCAATGTTTGGGATATTAAAACACAAAGTCCTTATATATCAAGCTCAAGGTCTTTAAGAGTGTTAGATTTTTAAAAAGAATCGGATGGATTTGTGTATGGTAGAAACCCATTCATTAGAAGTATGGTGGTTACACGGCATTAAACTCCGGATGAGCCATAGGAATGCACTACAGGAAGTAATGCACTGAGTATGCAATGTTATCACTGTCTTTGACCGTGATTTTATGTTGGAGAAATATGTTATAAATGATTATGCACATGGGTGAATTATGTTTCTTAGGCACTGGTTTATCTCTGTGAATCTTGAATAGCTTTTTTATATTTGGGTTATTATGTTGAACTATCCTAAGAGAAATTGATTTCAGCTCACCAAACCACATTAATGACTTGTATTATTTGCACAGGGAAAACTGAAACTGAATATTATCAATAAGCTAGATATGAAATCAGTTTTATCAAACTAGGGTTTAGAAAGGGGCGTTTTATATTCTTATTTCTGTATAACCGATTTTGGTTTTTTGCAGAATTAACTATGAGAATCACCGGCTACCAAAGTAAAACTTGATGTACTGATTCCATAATACATAACTTTCAGTTTTTACCACTCTCTTTGGCAAACTTGTATACTTACTTATTTTCTGTTCAGATTAAAAAGAATCAGATATCCTGTACAACCTTTGCTTGTTCTTTTTATTCTGCTATCTAAAAACTGGGTAGTTCATACATAGTTCATATAATCTTGACTTGAAAAACACAAAAATAAATTGACATTCAGAAATCTCTTTTAGCACCCAATGTCTCTTTTAAAAAAGTTTTGTTAAATTTGATTTTAACAGAATAAATTTCTCTTTTAGAAAAACCACCATAACACCTTCAGTGTATCAGGGCACCTGGCTGGCTCAGTTACTAGAGCATGTGACTCTTGATCCTTGGGGTCATGAGTTTGAACCCCACGTTGGATGTAGAGATTACTTAAAAAAAAAAAAGTTAAACTACAAACTTTAGTGTACCTCACAAATGCTGCCACATAACCAGGAGACCTTAAAAGATATCAGTCCTGGGAAAGATTTTAAGTTACGGAGGAAATTTTAGATTTTCAGATTTCAAGATTACCCTAAACCTACTAATAGCTGCCTCCTAATCCCTTCTGTAATGGATGTTTACCATCAAAAAAAACATTGGTTTTTTTTTTAATTTTGTCTTCCTTTTAAAATTTAACAAACATTTTAAAGCGCCTCACCATTTGAGGCATGGAGGAATATCCTCCTGGAGAATCACCATTACATTAACATAATGATGGTTCTGAGAAGATCTACAATAAAGAAACCAAACATTCCTAAAACATGATTGAACAGGGAACATCTTTTTCATCATAGTTCCTCGTAACATCGACTATAGGCTGCACTGGGAAATAGCAGTTTAGTCTGAAAAATAAGCCAAAGGATAAGTTTTATCCAGGAGCAACATACTATTGCGTACCAAGCGTATCACTCTGTTCCAACACCAAGCTTCTAGTTTTCATACAACAGAAAATAGGGATGTAAACAACTAAGGTTGTTTGCTATGCATTAATGGAATAAACATGTATCTAGGGTTTGCCTCTGCAGGGCAGGAAAAATGTTACCTTCCCCTTTGGGTTTTTGGCTGGGCCTGAGAATTAAGTTGACACAAGACGGACGAACAGGAAAGAAACCTTTATTTAATACAAGTTTTCGGTGGCACAGAAGCCCTCATAAGGAGATGGCCCAAAGACGTGGCATAACCTAAAGGCTTTGATACTGGGTTGAACAAAGAGAGGCAGCTGTGGAAAAGCAGATAAGTTATGTGAGGAAGCCAAGAAAAAAGGTTTTGTATAGAATTCTCTCAGTCTCAACATCCTGCCCTTGAATGAAGATGGTACTTTCCTTCTGGTTGAGGGAGGACATCTTCAGAATGGGGAGGACAAGTATTAGCTTGTTTTCAGAAAGAAAAAGGGCAGAGTCAAAGTGCCCTTCTTGTACCTGTTTTTTTTTCTGTGTCTTTAGATCGCAACTGTCGTTATGCCGAAGTAAGCATGTCTTGGAGTGGCATATTTTGCCACCCTTCACCTTTTTCCTCCTCTCCTAATGATTAGCATTTGACTTAAAACTGTAGTGATACTATAGGTTGTATCATTTCCTTATGTAATTTTCACACTTAAAATTGGTGTTTAAAAGTGTAGTTTGCCTAAGGGCGGAGTGAATTGTCTTCTGTCAGATGGACTTGAGCATTGTTAGTTGTAGGAAACTGTTTACATTTTTACCTACACCAGTCATTTTTCCTTTGCAAGTCATTGAAATGTTCTGACCTATAAACATGCATGTCACTTGGAAAAAATCTACCAAAAATTACTGAAAAACAGTCCCCTCCTCACCCCTAGAGGCAACCATTTTTAATTGTTTTGTGGTAATTCTTATTTTTAAAATGATATGCTCTACAGCTACTTCTAGATTTATCAATTTTAAAACACTTCCTATTGCCCATTTTGTCACTGGCCCTGAACTCAGGACTGACCTCCTGAACTCAAACTCCTAGAAGCTTCTGCCTCAGTCATACTTTTTGAAAACTAACTTAAATGCTGGAACAGAAAAAAGAAAAATCTGAAGAAGACACCTTAGCAGATGAATCAAAAAATGCTTCAGCCTCATTATAATGGTAAAATCCCCTGAATGTTCATCCCAAGCCCTACTAACAGGAGCCTGTCTTCTCTTGTTCAGGGGGTCACTGCTTTGGAAATTACACCCTGTGATCTCATTGTTTGTGCACATGAGGACCTTGTGAGGCAACTCCCATCTGGTGCAGTCTGTCTATAGGTCACCAAGAAGCGGACCAACTTTGGTCCCGTAACAGATTTGGTGACCCAGATGACACTCTCGTCCTTCTGAGGTTCTATATTTCAGTTCCCTGGTTTCCCATGGGCAGAGCAGTGGGTAACAGCAGCTGCCCAGGCTATTGGGGCCAAGCGAGGATTCCTTGGGGGGACTCTCCCTTGTTGGTGCCTGTGTTACCCTACAGCATAGAGACGAGGCTGGACCCAAAAGTCAAAGCCACCTGCAAGGTTTTTTTTTTTT